CACACAAACCACACACACACACACACACACACACACACACACACACACACACACACACACACACACACACACACACACACACACACACACACACACACACACACACATTAAGTGAAGGTGAACGACAGCTTCTCTAAGTCTCATCTCCCCCCCTGGGAGACAAACGCTCCTCCCCAGCTGTCTCCCCTTCCCCTCCCCTCTCAGTCTACTTATCCTCACTTCTTCTCCATCTCTCATTCTACCTCCATTACCCAAGTGCTTCTTTTTCATTCTCTACTTTCATCTCTGACCCCACATCTTTCCTTCATCGTTCTTTCGCCTCTCTCCCCTTTGCTTCCTATCTCACATTCTCTCTCTACATTTAATAATTTCCTGCTTCGTTGCCCGTACACACACACACACACACACACACACACACACACACACACACACACACACACACACAGTTTCTCCTATCATCCGTCTCACCTACAGTAACACCACATCCTTCTTAATGTGCCGGCACTTTCTAAACTCTTCCAGTCACTTTTCTCCTTTCAGTCACCTCACTGTGTAGACTCACCTGATCCATTATCTATCTTACTGCTCTCACTTTGTTTGCCTCGAAGAAAGAAATATAACTGAAATATGTATGGGAGAATCGAGTACCGACTTTAGCCTTATCAAATCCATAACAAATTCCTCACGTTACATGTTGATCTCAAAACTGTGCGCGTTCACACTCCACCTGTACACACACAGTCTAAAACTTTGTTCAGAGACGGATTATTAAGTGTGCCCTGACCATTCTGGGTGGTGTCTATCAAGTGCAGTGGAGCGATTCAACCAAGTCCAGTCTGGAGGGGAGAGGAAGGCAATTTATGTCCATCAAAGAGGTGAACTCTACCTAGGGGACAGGATGTGATGAGAGCAGAGGGCCATGGCCTGCATCCTAAACAACTCTGTGATGCTCAGGCCTCAGACCTCAACATGGGGCTCCAATACGTTTGCCAATTCTTCCTGAAAAGGTTCGTTGTTGAACGTCAACTTGTCTGTAGTGATGAGTTTTGAACTGACAGGCTATCAAAAGTTGGCCTTGATGCTTGGTCAGATTTGTACTTCAGTGAGTTTATTCTTTTATCATCTATGTTCTTTAACCAGCTACTACAGTTTTTGCTTATTTCACAATTGGCTTTATTTAAGGAACTTTTTTTTACAGTGGCTGTCATTCATTTAGTAAGAAATCCAAACATTGGACGAATGGATATTCTGAAAACTAGATGAAAATGGGGAGATAACAATGAATTCAAAAGGGAACACTAATGGTTGAGCCAAAGTTTATAGGTAATCCTTAATAATGCTTGAGGTGTTTCACTGAAAACCACAAAATATTTGAAAAAAATAAATTAGAGAAAAACTTTAGAATTTTATTAACTGGGGACAATTATTATCCGTCCAAAATGTTGATGATTATTTAAAACATTGAGCTGCTATTGGCATAGGAGAAGGAGTGAGAGGGTGAGAAGGATTCATCCTATGGCGACCATAAAAGGTGATCGACTTACTATCTCAATAATGTATTTGATAAGATATTTAAATCTAATCTAATCAAATATGTGTTAATAAGTCATGTCCTTGATAAAAATATGAATTGCTATGAATAATTACTCAATGTAGATTCAAATAGACAAAACAATCTGAGTAGTGCTGAACCTCAGAAAGAGTATGTGCTTGTCAGTCTGCAGCAGCACACTAGAAAAAGAAACATGTAAGATTTACTGGATCACAATTCCTGCGCTGATATTTTATCACTATCTCCGGGCAAAATCAGAAGAAAATCAATGGCGGCCTCTGCTGCCTAGGCTACCCTTCAGAGATCTAAGGGGATAGAAGAGACAGACTATCGATCACTTCATCAATGCACTGTTACTTCAGAAGGAGGAGAATAAAGGCTTTTTCAGAGGGTGAGAGGAGGGTTTTGTGGCTTGGTGCAGAAGGTCAGGGATAACAGCTGAATACTAATAGCGATTACAGTGTCGCAATACCCATGCTGACAGATACATACGTCCTCTAAAGACCATACTTTCCATCTACCTTCACTGCCATTAAGTTGTAGAGGTCCTGATGTACAAAGACACACATGTTTTGAAACAACACCTCCACACAGACGTCTCATCCTCCCCCTGTCCCCCAATGTTCCCCTCCCTTCCTAGAGCAAAACCAGCACCATCATCCTTCAATGTCAGCTCATCGATTGATCCGCTGCTTAAGCCCGTGCCGTGAGTCGGCATTGGTCAGATACAAAGCCACACGAGGCAATTCATCACTGAGCCCCGAACACTTAGTTTGACAGTCGGAGAGGGAGGAGGAGAAACTGATAGGAGAGAGGGAGAGGAGATGAAGCGAGGAGAAACAAGGGGATGGAGAAAAATGGAAACGATAGAGAGAGAGGAATTGATGAGGAAAAAAGCTGAACGTTTGTTTTCTTATCCACACAAGGCTTCTGAATCAGACATCTTAGCCTCACTTTCAATAACAAATTCATTCCCATATTCATTCACTGCCACAGCTTGACAGTTATACAACCACCTCTTTTGTTCAGAGGTGTAAATAGAAAGGTAAGGTACCAAAAGAAAGAGTTATAACAAAAAAGAGACAGTGAAATGAAGACCTTCTGAGGCTGGAATTCAGGCAGCATGACGCAGGTGGCGCCCACCCAGAGCGGGCACAGCAGCTTGTTAACGATGCCATGCACGTGGTGGAGCGGCAAGACGTGGAGGATGACATCATCTCTGGACCACGCCCACTCTGAAACCAGACACTGGATCTGAGGGGTAAGGGTGGTGGGGAAGTAAAGAGAGGAAGGGGTCAGAAAACCTCAATCAGCTTCCACTGTTGAAGACATCGGTTAGGACATTTCTGGTGTTGTGGCGCTGTATTCACGCCTCAATGAGTCATTCCTGCTGCTGCAAGAATGACTTTTGACAACCTGTGAACAACTGAAAGGGGTTGAAGTTAGAGAGCATAATCATAACATTATTCTACTCTTACCGCCTTATGTCCTAGACTCTTATTGGTGGAGAAATTGTATACATCTTTTCAACAATGAATATCTCCCAGCATAATGTGCAAACTGTAAGTATAGAAAGAACACTACATGTCTGATGTTTATCATTCATGTCTGGACATGCCATCAATATAGCTGCTGAGTGGATATATTACTTTGTATTATTCCTGCACACATAATTGCCAGAAGTCTGCATTCTCTTGAAGTGAATTTGTTTGATTTATTGCGTTAAGAGGCCAGTATTTTGCCAATACCAAATGTCATGTTTTTAGGACATTATAAATAGTGGATTAATAGATTATTCGAAGCCTTACTTACTTCAAGAATAAAATATATTGATATCTAATTAACTGTAGCAGAATACATTTATTTAAATAGCTCCAAATGTATCCCGAATTGAGTTTGATTATTTAATGGCATAGAAACTATTTCAACCTTGTAATACAGATTTACAAAACAGTGGAATTATATATTTTATAACAGTTATTGGATATTGATCAAAGCCTACATTTGGAAATCTTACAACAAATGTATTTAAATTTTGCCTCAGGTCTTAATTTACATGAACCTGGCAGAGGAGCTTTCCAGGAACTCTGACAACCTGATGCTGTTGTTGCCTTCCAGGAAAACAGACAGACTCACTTAATCATTCACTCACTCACTCACTTCCCTGGGCCAACCACAGGCAAATGAAACCCTGCCTTCTTTAGGGGTCTAATTTTCCACACTATTGGACATGTAGGTCAATTTAGCTTAAAAGTAAAAAAGAAAATCTTCATGAGATCTCTAATGGCATAAATGAGTGATTATTCAGAAAGCTTGACTGGAACAGAAGAGGATTGATGCTAATTAGGGAGTCACATGTGGGTGAGGGGATGTCTAAACACCGTCTGCACTCAGAAACATGCATATATTTGATGTGTCTTTATTTGTGGGAGTTTCAGATAGCCATTTCTTAATCTCTGCATGAAATATCAAATGCCATGCTTTAAATAAATCAAACCCAGAAGACAAACATGAAAAAGTAAATGTAGCCCTTTCTTGCATTGAAAAAAACTAAGTAAATCAGAACAAAGGTGTCCCCTTGTATGAATTGAATATTAACTTAAACAGAAACATAATTTTTTTTTTACAATTAGGTAAATCATTTGCGGCTCGAGAGTAGATTTGTACACATCAACCAGCCAGAGCTGAAGCGGGCAGGAAGGAGATGACCACAATTATATTGGAGAAGCTAGAAGTATGATAGAAGCTGTGCCAGAAAAACCTAACAAGCATCCAAGAAGAGTTTCTGGAGTAGATGTTTCAGATCAGAAAGGATATTGTTCAGAGTAAAAAAACATAAAAGTAAAAAGAAAGTTACATTCAGGCTCACTAGTATACTGTCCCTAATCTGAGTATCTTCAGTCTTCACCAGTGGTTTAAGAATTACACCTAAAAAGGGAGAATACAAGTTTATTTAGAGTTAGTTTTACCTTGGATTATTGAGAGAAATTCAGTGTATTACATTGTTCCCCTTTAGTGAGAGTAGGTTGGCTCACACCAGAGCCCTTGCTTGTAACCACAGGGACCATTAAATAAATAAATAAATATATTAAATAAATTAAAGGCAAACCTTTTTGGTTAATGATGCATCATGATTGGTTTTTATAACAATATTAAAATTGAGTTTTTTCAGTGGCATCAATGTCTGTGACTCAAAATCTAATTGTGATATTATTACTACACTGGACAAATACACACTTGTTTTGATAGGATTTTTGTATTTTTTGTGAATTTTTCAAAAAACGCTTCCATGACATTTGATCTTTTGATTCCAATTCAACGCAGAATCAAACTTCTAAACTAGACAGGTGGGACAAACCTCTACATATTGGATTTTAGTCCACCTGCTTTTTTATATCAATTGTTTTATGTAAGAATAAGCTTACATAAAATCATCATCAAAAATCAGTTTTTTTCAAAGCTGTTAAACACGTCCTGTGGGTCAATTCAAAGCCAATTAGTCTTTAACAAAAACGTTTATATTTTAAGTAACTGTGGTTTGAAAAAACAACACTTACCATAGCTTGGATGCTGCTGTGCGTATGTAGAACTCCTTTGGGTCTCCCTGTGGTACCACTGGTGTAGATGATCATAGCTGGTCGATCAGCCCAGTCTGTGATGTCTTCTTTCTCCTTCTCCTGGGTGTCTGCCCCATATAAAGTGCTTAGGTCCGAAGTAGGGGGCAGTGTCAGGCAGGGCAGCCCCAGCCTCCGAGCAAGCGGCTCCAGGGTTTTAGCATAGGGATGCCCTGCCACAAGCAGGGAACTCTGGGAGTCAGAGATGATGTACTCCAGCTCAGACTCTGGATGTTTTGGGAAGAGTGGCACCGCCGTCCCACCACTCATCCAAGCTGCCCACTGTGCCACTGTGTAGGAAGCATCATTAGCACACAAGAAGGATATTCGTTTTCCTCCTAACTCCCCACAGTTAGAGTTGAGAGCTGTCTTGATTCTACCTGCGAGACCCAAGCTGCTGCAATACAGCTGCTTGTAGCTGTGGGTGCCATTGCTGTCTAGGATAGCGAGCTTATCTCCAAATGCTGGAGCTCTGGTAAACACTGGCTTCTGGTTTAACCTTGTAGATGGAGCTGTCGTCCATCTATGAGCCCCTCTTTGAACTACAGTTCCCCGTAGCCAATGTGCTGGCTTTAATGGGCTATAAGTTCTGTGAAAAGTGGCTTTCAATTGAGGCAGTGTCCACTTCAGAGAGTGGCAGGCAGTAGCAACAAGTCCTGACCGCATCTTTCAGCTGTACAGACCCTCTGGAGTCAGATCTTTAAGATGGCTCCATCCTCAGGATCTTGCATCCACTCATATCAGACATCTGAGGAAAAAAGGTATAGTTTTATCAAAAAACAAATCAAATTTGAGATCTTCTCTTATAGTCAAATGCCACATTTCTTTAACTTCATTCATCTAGCATTGAACCTTTAAACACAGCTTCACTGCATGTGGCTTAAATGTATGGCTTATTTTTGTTCAGCCCTTCTTAAAGATGGTGAGCAGTAAAAGGAGCAGATGATAAAAAAATTAATAGTAAAATGTGGGTACACTCGATCAAACTATTATTACATATTTGTAAAGTGACTGGAATTGAAAACATAGATAGCCAAAAGGCTGAGAAGTCTTTAATTTTGGCCAAAAAACTAGTTCCTTAATCTTAATACAAGTTTGATCAAGGTTAATTGAATAGTAAAATACAACTAATTGCACCCCACACCTCCTATTTTGATCTAGACTAGTTATTTGGAGACATTCCCATAATGAAACAGCTGCATTTAACAATGTTTGTATGAAACAGAAGACCTAAAAATAACTATAGAAAGAAGCACGTCTTTTTTGCCATTGTACTGATAAAATTCGGGTATGGATTTAAGTCAATTAGTCATTTAACGTGAAAGCACTAAAATGATCTTCCAATAAAATAATGTAATTTATGTTGGTCCCTAAGTGAAATCCAGTGCTTTAGGGTGAGAGCTCGGATGAGAGCAAACTCTCTGACTGCAGTCTGTGACACTGAGTTGGCTGAGAGGACCGCAGTCTTTCGTATACTACAACCTAAACTAACCTCTCCGAGTAGATTATGCGTAAAACTTTTCACAAGTGCAGCGTTTTTCAGTGTAACTGTATCCACTATAAATCAGGCGATGTCCAACTACAACAGGAACTGCTCGGTTTGTCATGGCAACTAACGTCATCTGACTGTTCACCGTTAACGTTACCATGACATTTGACATGAACGTGAAGTTAACTGACAGGCAGTTAAAAACATGTCCCCGAAACCCCGACACTGAACAGACCTTGGCCAGGCAGGCACACGGATTGTAAATATCCCTCTTAGTTCAGCGAATAATATATAAATATTTCTAGGCATATACCCGTGGTCCGCTTTATCTTCCTAAATGCATATTAATCTTACCCAAAAAACAACCCTTGTAGCGAGGGACGGCGTCACAGCATAACTGTTCCGGCATGAAACACACGTTGGTTGAATGGTTCCTGGTTCCTGCCTCGTAAGTACACACTGCGAAATTATCTCTTGTGTGGCTATTTGGACATTACAAAAATACTATTTGTGTTATCGTGCAAGAGCTTGATGTTTTCTTATCTTAATTACCTTTTATTTACTCGTATTCCTCTTCACGAAATGCTCATTTTTGCAGGTTATTATTAGAGTGTATTTATTTTAAAGATTAATTGTATTTACACAGTCTCGTTTAAAAACGAAAGGTGACCGTGCCTTTCAGGTGGTGGCTCCAACACTGGAGCTCTCTCCCTATAGTCATCTGCTCTGCAGTCTCTGTAGAAGCTTTAAAAACGAATTAAGACCCATCTTTTTACATTGGCTTTTATTTCTATTTGAAATGTGTGGGTTGTGTTATGTTATTGTGTTTGCTCCTTTCAGGACTCCACGTGGTCTGTCTTATGTTTTTATGTTGACCTTAAAAATGTCTGCCTCATGTGGTTATTGTATTCATGGTCTGTGGTCTTAATTTTAACTTTTTTTCTTAATTGTGAAGCGCTTTGTGAAATTCTATATCTCTCAAAGGTGCTATAATAAATAAATGTATTATTATTATTATAGAGGCAAGGTTATTTCAAATCTTACTTTTGCAAGTTTCACAACAGACCTACAGACAGTTTCAGATAAATGCATCATTAATATACTGTTAGACCATCCTGTGGTTCTTAGCTCAGTTTGGTACTTGTTTGCATACCTCCCCCTATTTTAAAGGACCTGGAGATCGAATGGAGAGGCTGCTCACCAGAGAAGAGGACAGGGGAAGGGAGAGTGCAGTATACTATATATGCAGCTACCCCACACAGAGATGTGTTTGGCTTTAGATCACATGCCAGCCCTACTACTCAGTGTGCCAACTAGCTTGGCTGGCTTCATCATCACAGTGCAAGTGGGCATATTCAGCCGCCAGCTGGCAGTCGCGTGCCTCAGATAAGAGAATGGTTCAGACATGGCACACGTTCAAAAAGTTTTTACTTCCCTCCCCAAACCCCCTACACTGCAAACGAGGATGGCATGTTCCTAGCAAAATTAGCCCCTTTGTTTTAGAGAACTCCCCTCCACTCTCAGGAATAGTATCGTCAAAGACCACTCATTCCCATTCGTGGGGAAACGCTATTCAAGGGGATGCTATGCTACCCAGCAGCTATTTTTTCCCAGAGACTCCTTTATTCGTGGGCAATTGTATAGTCCTTAGTCTTTTTTGATGCAGATGGCTCAGCCGCATTTTCTAAGGATTCATCCCAAAAATGACCGAATGTCGTCTCCGCTGAAATGAAATAAGGCACAGACGACCCATGTTTTTGGATTTGTTTCCTGGAAATTGGCCATATTTTTGATATGCGTTGTATTGGGACTTGAATCTAAGCCACTGAGGGAGTTATCTATGGCTATGGAGACAGAAGAGATGGAGGAAGAGTGGAGGATTATAAAGGGTATCACATACTGCATATGTCTGTTTATCAGGGGTGAGAGGAGAAGACATGGCCACCATAAGGAGTTATGGTTACGGTTATGGGTGAAACCATGATATACAGACTACCTAGAAGCCGGCATTCTGTTGCAATGGCCTGCTGCCAACACTGCATTCACCAAAGACCACCTGAAAGGATCTCGCCACTGATGGGCAGTACGGCCACGAGCAGGCGCCAACTCCCATCTTGGCAAAGGACTGAATTCGAGGAAAAGAGAAAAACGAAAAGAGGGGACCCCCCTAGATCTGTGAGAGAGCGTGAGATGGTAACACAAACCGTGGGGAGTACCCAAGCATGTGTCAGGTTGGCATCAATGTGAGAATCACTTGGCAAGCACGCCGTTCTCTCCCCTCCCACCCCAGCTCACACACAAACACACTGTTGCCCTGCTTGGAACACATGGTACATCAGCAGCGGCATCTGGCCGCGCTGACTCCTGGCAGCTGCGCTTCGTCTTCGCCAGTTGGGAGTCTTGGCACTGCCACTTCATCAACTACCTGTGGCTCCTCCTGGGTAAAAAGGCAAGCGATTAATTATTCCGAGGCTGCAGCTGCAAACTTGACTTTCATCCAAGAGATTCACTGTAAACATGACTGCCTCACAGAGCACATGCCACCCACATACTAATGCACGGTTGACAACATGGCATGCATTCGGCACAAGGGGAATTACGTGATGGCATGGTTCATTTGAGGTGAAAGATAAAGGAATGTTGGGATGATTCTCTATGTGCTGAATCTTCGTCCAAGAGGGCTTTCAAAGAGGCTCGGGAGAAATACCTACGGACAACTGGAAGCTCTTGGTTTACAAAAAAGTGATTCAAATACAGAGTCAAATAAAGAAAAGCACAACGGACAAACATAAGTGGAAGTAACAGTGCAAAGGAATGTGTTTTAGCCTCCATGCTCTTCACCAGTCGGCATTGGCCCTTCTCTTTGTGTTGGGAAATGATGTTGAATGAGGATTACACTGAAAGGAATTTCCCTCTGATTTTAATATCAAACCAATGGAGGAGTGACCTTTCAACTATGCAATTATTGCCTCATATTCCGTTTCTAATGGGGGTTTTTGACAACCAAGGACATTTGCCTGAAGTGCACTAAATACATTTTAGCTGTGACATCTTGGATTGGTGAAAAGTGGAGCACAGCTTTGTCTGAAGATTACCTCATTTTTTTCAGTGGCACTGTATTTTATTTTGTTCCTTTTATCAGGATATTCCATCACCTGCTTTGGATTATTCATTTAGTTACTGAAGGACATTACATAGAAACTCTGTCCAAAAATGTGTTTGGGTTTTACCTGCACTCAATTGATTTTTCTTGTAGAGAAGCCCTCACGTTTGAAATGCAAAGACCTAAAGCTTTCAGCAGGACATTACAGGGTGTTTATTATGATCACAAATGCAGTATTAAATGGCAACCATGAGCAGTGACTCACATTATTTTTTGTATCGGTTTGGCTTGTTTTACACATGAAATAAAGTCAAGGAAAGCAGTATACCGAGGGAGGCAGGAAGCCAAATTGAAATCAGGGAATGTTGACATCCACTGGATTTCTTTGAGTTTGTGCTTTGCTCTTGGCTACTCAAGCACAGCATGACCCACATTCAGTTCAAAACTTGTAGAGTAAGTATTTATTTTGAGCCTTGTTTAAAGAGAAATGTTGGCAAGCTGTTAGGATCTGTCAAAATCCAACTTCATCTCTCCTTCACACACACACACACACACACACACACACACACACACACACACACACACACACACACACACACACATATTCTCTCACACTTTTCTGTGGGTGTTAGTCATCTGACAGTGACCCAGTGGGAGTTTTTTTCTCCATCTGTGTCGGTCTGACCCATTTTAGCCCTCGGCCACGTCCAACTGTTCAGTTTCCCAAACATATGTGCAGTGGCAGGGGGATAAGCGAACCGTCGCCGCACGGGACCTGCAGACACACACTGCAGATATGACACTGGACCCTGCTTTCCTATCTGTCTGCTTCCCACAGCATATGTCATCATCAATGCTTGCCCCGAGGATTCACACCTTAGTGATTTGACAAAACACCACTACTACTGCTTCTCCTGCTCCGAGTCAAGGATGTCTGTCTGTGCTATGCATTTGATTGTCAGACAGTGTGTATCTGCATGGATTTTTGGATTAAGTGGGTTTTATTTAGTTTAAATCTTTGATAGTTATTATTTATGTTAATGCACTGTGTAGACAATAGTGCTTGCCTCAACTTTCAGTTGTCCTCATGACTCTACAGCTCATTCATTGCAACTTCACTTAGTCAGTATAACCCTGTATTTCTTCTGTTTCTCCTGGCCAGCCCTTGATTGGGCACTTGACTTGGTGAACAGACTGGCAGCACAAACTGTGCAGATCATGACACGAGCCAGTGAGGCCAACCAGAAGAGGGATTGGGTTTTCTCCAAGTGGTCCATGTTGGCAGATGAGATGGTATCACTGCACAGAGCCAGGGCCCACTAGGGACTGTGGGGTGTGAGGCACATATGGGCAAACAGGCTGCCGATGAGCTGCTTACATGAGCCTCTCATCATGGCCTTAGAGAGAGATGTCTGCGCTAGAGCATTTAAAGTGGATATACGTATGTGTGTCTGCATTGTTTGGGTTGGCACAGGATCTATTGCAGATGTGCAGAGCACACATGCTTGTATGCAGGGATGCTCCTCTTTATATTATTTTATGAAATGTCATTCAAATTTAATTGGGGACAAACCCTGTATATCATAAAGGTTATATGAAAATGCCTGCAAGTTGTTATTGTAATTTACACATTCTCTGAATAACTGAGGCAGACGGCGTGGTCAAATGGACGGAATAAAGTTGATTTAACTGTAGTCTTAAGGTAACTCACCCTGAATAAATGATATCAAACTTCCTGACCTACAGGCTGTTATAAGCTTCAGACTGCTGCAGAATTTTTTGATGGCTCTCCACTAATGCCTTATTGATTTTCCACCTTCCCTTTTAACTCACACACGTGAAAATGGAAAACTATTCTGCTAGCCAGGCGATCAGAACTTCCGCCCTCCCTCCCCCAGTTCAATTCAGCTCACTAACTTTGATAGGGTTGTAGCATGTCTTTAAAACAAGCATGCCAAAAGTACATATTGTTGCACTATATTACTATCACTTTTTTAATAAAGCCTGTTCATGATACAGCTTAAAGGAAACGGTTGTTTCCCTCAAAGCCTTGCAAATATTTGTCTTGTTTTATGTTTGTTAAGCTTATGTGGAAGGGGAAAAAACTAATTTTCCATACATCATCAATTTATTTCATTGGCCATGGAAATAAACTTGGCAGGCTTGTTCCTTGTTCCATTTTCTACAAACTACAGACACACACACACACACACACACACACACACACACACACACACACACACTGGGGCTGCCAGGCTGCTTGGGTGGTGTGTTGTTCTCTGGGAGACAGTACCATATGTTG